AAACACAGACCACAGATACAAAAAAAAAAAAAAAAAAACCAAATAAATAAATATGAGTATCCAGACATCCCCCAAAGCAGTAGTTTTGAACTTATAAAACTCGACCTGTCAGTGTGTGTGTGTGTGTCAGTGTGTGTGTGTGTGTGCTGTTTTGTGCAACCCAGAGCCACACAGCTTACACTCCTCCCCTCCTTTCCTTCCTTTTTCTTCTTCCTTCCTTCTTTCCTTCCTGTTTGTTTGTTTGTTTGTTTGTTTGTTTTCTGTTTGGTACAGAGTCTGAATGTGTAGCCTGGCCTCCAACTCACAGCCTTGCTTCCTTGAGCCGGGATTGCATGCATGTACCACCCTGCCTGGCCTGCATATATTCATTCATGGAACCCCAGGAAGAACCAGTGCTGAGATACAGTACAGTGGACCAGGGACCTCTGACTCGGGCCTCTGACAGAGCAGGAACGGGTGGGAAGGAAGGGCACACTGGACTGTCTGTCATGCTCCTCCGCCGCCTCCCCATCTCATGCCCACACTTTCTTCATCAGTTTCCCGAGGCTGCTGTAACAAGTGATCAGGAACTGGGTAGCTTAGAACAACAGAATGCTTTGTTATGGAGGCCTGAAGCATGCTTGTATCCTTGGGAGGTAATGATGCTGCTAATTTTCTTCAGCGTCCTGTGGTACCCTCCGGTCTCTGCCTGCTTCATCACGTGGGCTCTCCCCGGCCTCTCCTCCTCCTTCCTTTAATGGGCATAGGGAGTTTAGGAGCTGGACATAGATAGATGAGTGGGCCACTGTCCTGGCCACTCTAGAGGCAGCTGCTAACTCCACACAGCCCCCTCCCCATGGCAGAGAGAACCTTCATTCCCATTGCCCATTCCTCAGCCTGACCCAGCTCACATATACCATCCATCTCTACTCAAGTGTGTCTACTCCCAGAAAACCTGTTTGCTGACTCCTGGACTGTCCTCCTACACTGCACAGGCAGATCAGACGCTTCCTTCCTAGCTCACCACCCCAGCCCTCTCCACTCTCTTTTCTGGGAAAAACTCCTCCGAAAGAAGCCAGCTCTTGCTTTCTCTTACTAAAATACCTCTAGTGTCTTCTGTTTGCTTCCTTTTATCTCTTGAACTATTCTATAAATAGCCCAAGTGCCCTGGGCTACCATGCTGGAGACACCATGGCAGATACTCTACCAAGAACGGCAGTTCAGCCTTCCTGCCATACCCACCAAGATGGCAGCCATGTAAGGAAGAAGTCAACTTTTACTTGGCCACGCTAACTTCAGCTGCTCCTGGCCTCTGGCATTTGAGTCTTCAAGGCTGAGGTCCAAGATTTCACGGCACATGGATGTATCTACGTACTGTCCAACTTCCTAACCACAGACCCTGTGAGCACAGTTAATGGCATGGTTTGGGGCCATTAAGTCTGAAGTCATTTTTTTTTTTTGCCAGGCAGCGGATCCCCAAAATCATGTGCTGAGTGGAACAGCATATGAGGGACACTAAAATGCGTCTTCCTGCTTCAGACAGAGCAATCTTTCTCAACTCAACCTGGAGCAGAGCTGATTTGATGTAATGCGAGGCCTCAGGCCAATGCTATAATGGAATGAGATCTGGAAGGTCTTGGGAGAGGATGAGTGTGTTTTGTTGGAGCTGGAGGGTAAACTGGAGCACTTAAAACAATGG